GAGAGAGAGAGAGAGAGAGAGAGAGAGAGAGAGAGAGAGGGTAGCTGTGTGTGTGGATGGTGCGGTCGAAGGGGGTTAGCGGCTGCGACGACGACCAGGCGGTGTCGGTGTCGATGCGATCCGCGACTGCCGACGGCTGGATTTGCAGTGGTGTATGGGAGCAGCGAGTGGACGGGACGGGAGAGCCAGAGCCGGAGGAGGAGGAGGAGGTGGTGGATGGACTGCGGGGGACGGGAAATGGAACAAGTGTCGGGAAAGGCCTCCCCTTTAAATGGCAGGCGAGCGGGGCGGGCGGCGGCAGGCAGGCCGGGCGTGCAGCCAGCGCGCCGTGTCCGTCTCAATTTTTTTTAGGGGGGGTTGACCCAAGCAACCCTTCGGCACAGGAGAGGTGGCCAGCGGCCCCAAAGTGTCGGCCAGCCAGCCAGCCAGGTGGAGGCTGTGGCTTCCTGCTGGCCAGCGAGTAATGGCACCCGGTCTGTCGCCGCATGGCTTGCCCTGGCCAGGCCTCGCTAGGCCTCGCCACTTTGGGTATCTCACGCGAGGTGGCGCCAGGGCGGCGCACCCCGCAGCGGAAAATTGCAGGTGGGGCAGCCGCGCTCCACATGGCAGCGGCCGGTCTGGCAGGCCAGCGGGCGGGCAGGCGGCCGGGCGGGCTTCGGCCAACTTTTTCGGCGGAGCTCGGCGGCTGGGCTTGACCTCGCTTCCCGCCACCACCACCAGCGCCGCCACCTTGACCTTTGACCACGCTCTCGCTCCAGACGCAAGACGTAAGACGACGGACTGTTTCGACCCTTCTTGTCTGCCACCGCACCAGGCACAGCGAGACCGCCACGTCATCGCCCATCTAGAACTCGCTGGACCCCGACCTCGAAACACCCACCGCACCACTTCCCAGCCCCCAACCCGGCCCCCTCAACAACCATGTCGACCTCGCACACCGAGCACCGGCGGCAGGGGCAGCTGGAAAAGGCGCGGGCGGCCATGCTCGACGACTTTGAGCGCCAAAAGGCCGAGCTGGCCAAGCAGTCGGAAAAGAACCGCGCCGCGCCCGACCGCTTCCAGAGCAAGAGCGACTCGATCGAAGAGACGCTCAAGAAGAACACGGTCGGCCTTGTCCGCCTCGAGGATTTCCAGAAGAGGAGAGAGGAGCTCGAAGAGGAAAAGAGGAGGGAGGCCGCCAGGAGTAACGAGGTTCGGTGAGTGGGCAGAGAGCGGACCACTGGCCCTGGGCCCCCGTACCTTTGGGCACGATGCGGGCGGAACGGATGCTGATCTCAAAGTGCGGACCACCCTCGCTGTTCGACCGCAACGCAGCACCGAGGAGAAGAAGAAGCGCAAGGACAAAAAGGGCGCCAAGGCCAAGCTCTCCTTTGCGCTCGACGACGAAGAGGACGACGACGCATCGGCATCATCGTCTATCAACCTCAAGCGCAAGCGCAACGGCGCGGCCTCGGCCTCGGGCGCAGGCGACGGCGGCGCCGACGATTCGGCCTCGCCCATCCCGCTGAAGAAGGCCAGCTTCAAGAACCCAAACGTCGACACCTCGTTCCTGCCCGACCGCAACCGCGAGGAAGAGGAGAGGCGGATCCGCGAGGAGCTGCGCCAGGAGTGGCTGCGCAAGCAGGACGAGATGAAGAACGAGGACGTCCAGATCACCTACTCGTACTGGGACGGGACGGGACACCGCAAGGTCGTCAAGGTGAGTGCGCGGGGTCTGTCGGGAGAAGGGAGGAGGGCACACTGATGCTGGTGCTGGATTAGTCTGATCGCTGACGCCGCACTCGGACTCGATCGATCCCCCTGGGTCTGGCCCCGGCCCGCGCGCAGTGCAAAAAGGGCGACAGCATCGCCCAGTTCCTGGAAAAGTGCCGGCAGCAGACAAACGAGCTGCGCGGCGTGTCGGTTGACAACCTCATGTACATCAAGGTACGTCTCGCCGTCCTCGCCATCGACCCGAAACCCGCCGTCTGACCCTGTTCCCTCCTTCCCAACCCTCCCCGCTTCCGCCTGGCATGATCGACTGGACGACGACAGGAGGATCTCATCATCCCACACCACTACACCTTCTACGACTTCATTGTCAACAAGACCAGGGGCAAGTCTGGCCCGCTCTTCAACTTCGACGTGCACGACGACATTCGCCTGGTCGCTGACGCCACCGTCGAAAAGGACGAGGTGAGTGCCCGAGGTCCCGAGGGTCTGCGTGAGAGGGGAGGCGATCAGGCCCTTGCTGACTTGGTCGCTTGCATTCGTGGCTGCGTCATGGGGGAACAGTCGCACGCCGGTAAAGTCGTCGTAAGTATCCTTGGCGTTCTCTTGCCGCTCGCTCGGATGTGCGAGATGTGCGGGAGCTCTGGATGACACCGATGCGACGGCGTCACCCGCGTGCTGACACCCTGCTCCTCCTCTCCGCCCGTCTGATGATGCATCGCAGGAACGCACCTTTTTCAACAGAAACAAGCACGTATGGCCCTACAGCCGTGAGTCTGCCGCCTTCGCCGTCAACCCCGCCCCTGCTGTCTGCGCCCACGAGGCCGCCGAACGAACCATCAAAAGCGCCTCCAGCTGACTCTCTCGCCCCTCCTCCCTCCTTCCCTCCCTCTCTCTCTCTCGATCAACGCACCGACCGACGGCCGGACGGATCGACAGGATGGGAGGTCTTTGATCCAAACAAGGACTACGGGTCCTACACGATCCACGACCGCACCAAAAAGTGAAGATGCCCGTCGACACGCTCCCCCGTCTTTCCTACAACCCCATCGCGCCGCCCATCGCTTACCTCAGCATCGAGAAGCGCTCATCTGTATCGCTGCAAAGGCTACTCGGGCTCTTCAGCGTCTGCCTCATGGGCCTTCATTCCCATTTTTCTCTAATCTACATCGCGGCAGCGGATAAGCAACTCAGCTCAGCTCAGCTCGACTCGGCGTGCGCAGCTACGGGCGTCTCTGCGCGTCGACCCTTGCTCTCGCTCGCTCGCCCGCCCGCCTCTGCCAGCCTGTCTGCCTAGCCTCACTCATGCTAGGCCGGCGCTAGGCCTCGTCGTCGACACTACTCGAGAAGCTCGTGTCGAGGAGCGCCTGGTGCCGGTCGGGCAGCGCGTGCGGATCATAGCCGCCCGGCCTGCGCGGGTCGTAGTAGCCTGCGATCCAGCTTTTTTTCGCCTCGCCGGACCCCGCGCCGCCGCTTGCGCCGCCGCCGCTGCCGCCCTTGACGGTGCTAAACGAGCTGGCGGTGCCCGACTGGGTCATGCCTGGCCGCTCGGGCGAGGCCAGGTTGGACGACGAGGCGGCCGTGTCGCCGTCGAGGTGGCGCCAGTTGGACACAAACGAGCCCACCGGCGACGTCGAGCGCGCCGTGTAGCTCGAGGCGTGCGTGTAATTGGACTTGTTGGTGGCGCTCGACGCCTGCCGGTTGGCCGTGGCCGTGGCCATGTTGAAGCCAAAGGGGATACCCGACAGGCTTCCCGGCTGCTGCAGCCGCGACGACGTGCTCCGGATCGAAGACGTGCTGCTCACGGTGCGGTGCGACGGCGAGCGCGTGCCGGCGAGCCGCGGGAGGCTCGACGTCGCGGGCAAGCCGAGGGAGCCGGGAACGCGCCGATGACCGCGAGCGCCCGTCGACGACGAGGTGGCCGCAGACGATGGCGAGCGGATGCTGCTGGTGCGCTGCGGCAGGTTGACGCTGCTGGCGCTGCTGCTGGGACCCGACTGCGCCTCCTTCACGCCCTGGTGCACCAGCGACTCAGCGCGCTTCGACTGCTGAGATTCTGCCCGTCCAAACGCCTCACCCTCGTCCGTGCTGCGTCCATGCAGGCCGGACCTAGCATCGGACGGCAGCGGAGGGTGAGAATTCGCCACCACCGCTCCCCCTCTGCCGCCTGCCGCAGGTCGACGTGGAGAGCTCATGACCGGGAACTCCATCGACCTGCTCGGCACCGTGTCGGCGTAGTTGGCGATAAACGAGCTCAGATCACCGCGAGACTCATCGGGATCGTCGTCGCTCCCCTCGAGCGAGTCTCTCGAAGTCTCCTCGGGCGGCTGCTCGTCGGCGAGGGCCCAGTCGGCGTCGTCGGGGTTGAGGTCGAGACCTAGCAGCGAAGGGTACTGGCGCAGCTTGGGACTGCGATCCGCCACGGGTGGACGTTCCTCGGCGCGGCTGCTGCCGTTGGCAGCCGGAATGGATGCTTCCCGGATCGAGTCGCCCAGCCTCGCATCGTTGCGCAAAGCGGGGGAGTGCCTCGTCAAGCCGCTCGGCCCGCTAAAGAGCGAGACTGGCCTCGCACGCTCCTGCGCAGAGGGTCGCGGCGCCCGTAGCGACGACATCGTCGCGGTCTCGTCGCCACCCGTGGGCATCGTCGGACTCTTGAGAGTGCTCGGCAGCACCACCTCGGAGTTGGTCGATCGGTGCCCGGGTCGAGTGCCGAACGACGACACCTTGTGCGGGCCGCTGTCACCCTGGCTGTGGTCGGAGGCGGTGTTGGCCTGCGAGGTGCGGTTCGATCTCGTCCGCTCCTCAATGGATCGCGACTCGGACGACTCGTCGGCTAGCCGCTGGCGGGTGCCGTCCTGCTGCGATCCAGCGATGAGGCGAGCCACTTCGCGCTCGAGCTGCTGCGTCCGCTCAAGGAGCTTCAACTCGCGGTCCTCGCGCAGTTCCAGCTCCCGCTCCAGTTCGAGCACCCTTGTGACTTCGGCGTGGAGATCCAGCGTGAGGCTCTCGTTGCGCGTCCTGAGCTCCAAGACCTCGGCGCGCGTCCGCTCGAGGCTGTCGAGCAGGCTCTCGCGCTCGAGCTCGTGACGTCGCATCAGAGTCGCCACCGACGCGTGCGAAGCGCTGCTCGACGGCACCACGCCCAGTGCCGCCAGAGCGCCGTACTCGGAAGCGCCCATCGTGCTGCTGCTGTCCTCTCGCTGCGGAATCATCGCCCCAACCGCGCTGGATCGCGCGCTGGCGGGGCGATAGCTGACCTGGGACGACCAGTCGCGGATCGAGCCGATCTCGTACCGGCTGCGGATGCCGGATGCGAGCGAGTGGGACGGCGACAGAAGATCGGCGGGACGCGACGATGCGATCGACGCAGCCGCGGCGGCGGCGGCAGCAGCAGCAGCAGCGCTGGCCGCAGCGGAAGAGTGGTGCACCCGGGAGCGTCGGCGGCCGTGACCATCCGTCGACCGCGAGGCGTCGCCGGTGTGGTGCGAGAGGCTCGAAGGTCGAGACTCAAACGTCGGCGATCGGGTGTGAGCCGCGGCCGAGTGACGGTCCTGGCTCCCTTCAGCAAGCCGCTCACGCTGCTGTCGAGCTTCGATGGCCGTGTGCAGCAGCGAGCTCGCCTCTCCGGTGCCATGCGCATGTGGCCCTCGTTGGTGCCCAGCGGATGCGCCCTCGTCCCAGTGTCCACTATGGCTCTGGCGGGATGAGGCAGCAGTTGCGGGCTGCGAGCGGGGCGTGCCGAGCGTCTTGGCCGTGGCCGATGGCGACGTGCCTCCGGCGCCGGAGCTGGCGCGGCCCGTGACGGTCTGCTCGTGGCTGTTGCGTTTCGCCTGCACATCTGGACCGTGACGTCCTTGCCCTGTTGGCATCGTCTCCTTGCCTTGATCCGCGAGCAGCTGCAGTTGCGCCTGGCGGTGGCCGCTTCCCGTGTCTGGCACCCCGGCCGAGTGGCGCTTAGCTTCGCGTTCCTCGATCAACGAAGGGCTGTCGATGCGCGGCAGGCGGACGGGCGACTCGGACGCGACTCGCCGGAAGGAGCCAAAGGACGAGGAGCTCGTGCGACCGCGAAGGTGCCAGGTGGCCTCGTCCTTGGGATGCATGCCCATGAGGCCGGACAGCGACGTCGATGCGGGCACCTCGACCCCGCTCGAGTTGATCCGGTTGTGCCCGCGACTCCTCTGGCCCATGAACCGGGCGCCCAAGGCGCGCGTGGCTGCCGGGACAAGAGGCGCCCTCGCCTCGGTGGTCGCCAGGGCAGCCGCCTGGGCAGGCTGGCTGCCGACTGGCGTGCTTCGGGTCCGCTCGCGACGCTCAGCAGCCTGCGCCGTCGTGCGGGAGAGCGGACTTTCCTGCTGAGCCTCTTGCATCGACGCGCTCAAGGGGTCGCGCTTGCTCCTTCGGTGCGGCGTTCGGTCGCCAAAGCGGCTCGCGTCGTTCTTCATGATGGGCGATGGCGTGACGCCGATCGCGGACGACTGCACGAGGGCGAGCATGCGTCCGTAGGATTCCTCGATGTCGCGCATCGAGTCGCGGCGGCGCCGCGCAGCCCGGACCGGCGTCACCTCGGATCGCATCGTCGTGTCGCCTCCAAGCTGGGCGAGGCGATCGCGTGCCTCGTCTTCGTCGACACTGTCGTTGGCATCGACGGCGAGGCTGGCATCCACGTCACCTGCCTGGGACCGCGTCTCGTCAGGTTCGCCGGCGCCGTCGCGCCTCGGAAGCTGCGAGGAGCTGATGGCTCTTCGCACCTGGCGGACGGCATCCGCGATGGCCTGCTGCGATGCCGGCGCCAGCGCCAGCCTCCTCTCCTCGGAGGGAAAGGGGCGACTCGACGACGAGGAGCTGTTCCAGGCACCTGGCATCGAGATATCGCCGCCATCCGACAGCTGCGACGCCTGCCTGCGGCTGAAGCTACCGTCTTCCGCCAGCATGCTAAAGTCGAGTCCGTCTGCCGCCGAGCCGCGGTCACCCTCGAAATTTGCAGCGTTGGCCGCGGCGGGGACGGCACTGCGCTCAACAAAGTGGCCCTGCAGCGCTGCCTCCACGGCGGCAAGGTGGCTCTCGATCTCTTCGACGTTGAGGTCCCGAACCGAGAGGCTGTCATCTTCAGAGGCGGGCGTCTGCGACGTCGCCGTGGGCCGAGAGAGCAGGCGGCCCATCTCGCCGAACGTGTTGCGCCTCGCATCCTCGGGCTCCGCCTCGGCAGTCGTCGCGTCCGAGATCGACTCGGCGCGGAGCGAGCTGTGATCCGCAGCCTCGTCGCTGGTCAGCTTCGGGAGCCGGTCAATCGATGCGGCAGTCGACATAGACGCGCTGCCGCCAAACTCAGGCGATGAGGGACCGGCAGCGATCGCGGGGCGTGCGTCGCGCGACGCGACACTCTCGGATTCCTCCGAGTGGGCATCGAAGTAGGGCGCAGAGGTGGCGGTGCTCCGTCCGTCGAGGCGCTGCTCGAGGCTCGTGATGAGATCCGAGAGCGGCGAATCAAACCCTCGAGTCCTCGGCGAGTGCGGGCCGAGTTCGAGAGAGGGCAGGCTCGGCCGCGATGCCGACCGCGAAGACTGCAGCTGCCAGGGTCGAGGAGACGTGGGGGAGCTTTCGGCCGTCTTGAAGGAGCTGGTAGTGGTGACTGTGTCGAAGCGAGAGTGCGCCGCACCCTCGTAAGAGTCGGAGCCGGTGCGGGGCACGGCGGGATCATCGAGATCATCATCAGCTGCGGCCGCGCTCGCCGAGACAACCACGGGCGACTCGGCCATCTCGATGCCCTGCCAGATGCGCGGGATACCGACTCGAGGCTTGATCGAAAGGTTGGACGAGGCCTGGCTGCTTGCAGTGCCTGACGCGGTCGGCAGGCTGCCCCTGCCCGATCTCGCGGCCTCGGCGCCCGACGAGCTGGCAAGCTGCCTGCTTGACGCGGTCAAGCCGTTGATCGCCAGGGACTCGGAAAGGTCGGTGGCGCTGCGACCGCCGAGAGCGACGCCCATGCCATCGTCGGTGTTGATCGTGAGCTCCGAGACGGGCCTCTCGCGCGGGCTCGCCTCAACTTCTCTGGCGACCTGCCTCGGCGTGCTCTCCTCCCCGACGAGGTGCTCGATTGAGCTATGGCTCGCCGACTCGGCCGCTGGCGCATCGACAGGACCCTGTGGCTCTGTAGACGACGTGCGCGATTCCGCGTCGGATCGACCACGAAGATCTGCGGCCACCTCGGAGGTCGCCTCCGGTGCAGGCCGCGGATAAGTAAAAGGCTCGACGGTGGGGCTGTCCGTGTGATCCGAGGCGGCATCGAAGGTGTGCGCGGCGCGGAAGCTGTAGGGCAGGTCGCGCGACGGCTTCGGCAGCCCGGAAAGCTGCTCTAGCGGACCACTGTTGCCGAACGACTCGTCGCCGTCCAAGTTGCGATCCTTTTTCCAAAGAGGGGCTGTCAGACCGCCATTGCCGCCGCCAATGCCCGAGTTGGCCCTGGCCTTGGACCTGTTGCCGGTGGCAGGATCCTTGCTCGAGCGGAAGGGCGCAAAGATCGAGGAAGACGCCTTGCCCGACTTGGTCCGCGTCACCGACTCCTTGCGAGGCCGGACGCCGTCGCTGAGCTCGCCAAACTCGCCAAAGGACGGACGGGAGCCCTCTTCGACCTCAATGTCCGGATGCAGGCCCTTGAAGGACCGCGTAGGCGACATGGCCGGGGGCAGCGAGCTGATCGACTGCGACTTGCCGCGGAGGCTCGTCCTGCGCATCAGCCGCCGGAAGCCGGACGCGATCGAGTTGCCGCGCGAATGCTTGCCTTGGAGGATCTCGTTTCGCCGCTCCTCTGCCAGGCTGCATGCGTTGAGCGGATAGATGGCGTCAGGAACGAGCGAGGAAAAAGGCGGGTCAGTATGAGGAGCGCGGGCCTGGATCGACGCTCGAGCTGCTGCCGTCGAGGGACGAACTCACCCGTCTGCATCATCCTTGCTTCTGCCGTGCTGATGCTTCGAAGGCGAGCCCTGCAGCCGCGAAGACGGCCGGGTATAGGCGGATTCGCTTTCGGCCCGCATGCCGAGCCCCCGTCGAACGCTCTGTCGAGAGCCGCCATTGACGGCCTGCTGCGACTGTGAGCCATATTCGTTGGCCGCAGCAGCGGGCGCAAAGGGTGAAGCAGGCTGGACATCCGAGGTGGTGGCATCGTCACCTTGCTGGTCGGGCCTGGGCATGCTGCTAGCGTTGGCCGCAGCCGCAGCCGCTAGCATGGCGGCTCGTGGCGAAGTAGTTGGCCGCGAATCTGTCCGCTGCCGTGTCGGAAAGGCCATCATGCCGCTGGACAGCGAGGGCCTCGACGACGGGGCGGTAGACGCGGGCTGGTAGTCGTCAGAAGAAGATCTAGGCGGTTGATTCGGAGCGGGTTGGAGGGGTGCAGCGCCGTCCTGATCCTGTGTTGCCGTCATCTCGTGAATAGGCTCGCTTCCCTGTTCGAACGCCTTGCGCGATGCGGTGGAGGGGACCATGCTGGCCTGCGTGTCCTCGGCGTCGAGGATCGCCCTGTCGTGGCCCGGCTCTGGGAGGCCTGGTTGCTGCTCCTTCAGCAGCGGGGCGATGCGCTCGCCACCACGCCGCTTGATCGTGGAAAGGGTAGGGATCGAGTCCCGCGACGACGGCTGCTGCTGTTGCTGCTTGTTGACACCACCAGTCGAAGGCCGAGAGCCACCGCTGTCGTCGTCGCGAGGCACGTAGTCAGAGTTGATCGAGAGTCCGGTCTCGGATCCCGGCGTCACAGGCAGCAGCAGGGGGAAGCCGGACTCTGACACGTCCTGGACTCGAAGGCCGCCCTGGCCGGGTCTGCTGCCGCGCGAAAACACGCTGGGCAACGGGGCTGGGGAAGGCGCAGTCGAGGGAGGGCAGCGTGCCAAGTGACTGGCGCGCGCAGGGGCTACTAGCTCGAGCTCGGGCTCAGCAGACCGAAAGTACGGTCGGACCGAGGTCGAGGCCTGTTCGAGAACGCGTGCGACCGGTACGTGTGAAGCTTGCGCTTCGCTTCCTCGATCCGACTTTTGGCCAAAAGGCGGGATGAACTGGGAGTAGCTCTTTCGCAGCCGGCGCAGGCTGGCGTTGGAGCTGAAGAGGCGAAACGGCCGGCCGCGCGAGCCTCGTGCGATGTCTGCAGCCTCTGCGATCGCAGCAACGTCGTCGTCGAAGCTTGCGTTGCGGGCGACGTAAGCGGGACCCGCGTCGGCTGTAGCGCTCTCGTCGAATTCGCTGGTGTTGGCGGCTCGGCGAACCGACGTCGAGGTGTTGTCGGACCGATCTCGTCGAGCCAGGCGGAAGAGGGAGCTGAGCGCCGAGGCTTTGGTCCTCAGCGACGTCGACCGACCGGATGCCTCGCGCCGCGGTGAAGTGGCTCCGGTGACTGTTGGGCTCGAGCCGGAACTGAACGAAGGCTCCTCGCGATGCGGCGTCAGCGACTCGATGGGCACCAGCAGCGGCGGCGGCAGCGGCTGAGGCGGCGCAAAGTCGGCGGAGGAGGCGATGCTGTGCTGGCGCGACGAGAAGCCTCCAGCGCTGTTCCGATGCGAGTGCTTGACGCGTGAGCTGGCGCCAAGGCTAGGGGTGGTGAAGGTGGTCGACGGGGAGCGGCTGCCCGACAAGAAAGACGCGGAAACAGTGGGGCCGTAGACGGATGGTGCTCGTAGGCCAAGGCTGGGTTGGGTGCTGCTGCAGGTCGACAGGCGGTTGGTGCGATGGCTGACGTGACCTTCGGTCGCCCAGCTGATGGCGGATTGGTCCGAGGGCGATCGCCGATGGTCTAAAGGTGTGGGGAGGGTGGAAGGGCGATCACTGCCGGCCACAGGAGGATGAGACGGGCTGGAGGCGAGATGCGTCGCGGTGGGAGCGGGACGGCGATACAGGTCGTGAGCCTCTGAGGTGATGCCGTGGTCGCAGTCGTGGTGCTGAGCCTGCGGTGCGTCAAAGCTGGGCTGCGCTGTAGCGGTCGGCGAAGCCGTGGTCTGGACGCTGTGGGTCCTGACCAGCTGCTCGCCACGTCGACGAGAGAGCGAGTTGGGTAGGGATCTGGGCGGAGGAGGGAGGCTAGTGGGTCCGCGGCGATCCGAGATCCAGACACCGAAAGGATGCGGGTCGTTGATGTCGGTGGGGATGCGCGAGGGCCTCCTGCGGGAAGGCGACTGCTCGAGGTCGTCACCGCCGGGCTGTAGCCGGTGCGCGAAGAAGGCGGATGGGAGGCGAGGGAAGCGCTCCTGGCCTGCCTCGAGTTGACGGTAGCGTCGGACGCTGCCAGTCGGCGAGATGAGACCGGTGGATGTTCCAAAGTCCGGGTGCAGTCCGCGATCAAAGTACGAGCCCGAGGACGGCCCAGGAAGGGGCGAAGGGGTTAGGAAGAGGGAGTCGGCTGCGGCCGGTGTGCCAGGTGTCTGCGACGACGGAGACGGCTGCGGTGGTGTGGGAGAAGGCTTGGAGGATGCCTGCAGTGCAATGGGGGACGGGAAGAGGGACGATCTGGCGGTGGCGAAGGACGCCTCGTAGGGGCTGGGCCGATCGGTGGCGCCTACCGAAAACGACGAGGAGGGCGACGTGGGTGAATGCGAGAGTGGCGAATGCGACTCGGTCGGAAGTATGGGGGATGATGACCAAGGGGAAGGCCGCGGATCAGAGCCTCGACCGAGGCTGTGAGGGTGGCTGCCGAGGCTATCGGTGCTAGTACCAATACCGCCGTCGTTGCCGCCGCTGCTGCTGGCACTGCCACCGCTGCTGCTGCGGCTGCTGTGGAGGGTCCTTGCACCAGTGCTGATGCTAATGCCGCTGACACCGCTGAATGGCCTGGCGTGTGGGCCAAAGGTGCGACCACTGCTGGCAGTGGTGGGCAGGCTCTCGGCGGTTGGTGGGCGATGCCGGCAAGAGGGCGGACAAGGAGGCGGGAGAGGAAGGGGGAGGGGGAGGGGCGACGACGGGGTGAGGGAAGGCGATCCCGGAGCGGGATGCCAGTGGTTTTGGCGGCGGGAGGGAGGCCGGTGATGGTGGTGGTGGTGGTGGTGGTGGTGGTGTTGATGATGGTGGTGAGGAAGAGGAGCTTCAGCAGCAGCAGCAGCGGAGGCGGGGAGAAGGGGCTCGCGGGCTAGCCGAGGCAAGGAGTGGAGGCTTGGACGGACGACGGGCATCGCGTCGACCGCGACCCTGGCCGGGATCGGGCCATGATCGGCACCTGCAGCCCACCGCCCGCCCTCGTCGGCGGCTGCCGCCCCTGCCACCGGGCTAGTGCCAGACCCAGGCCCAGACGCAGAGGCGCCGCCAGACGAGCTGCCGCTTCGAAATTCGGCGTCGCGGGCCATGGCGGGAAAGAGCCAGGAGCGCAGGCGCATCGCTTCGTCGGAAGTCGGACTCGGACTCGGACTCGAGCAGGAAGCGCTACCCCGGCGGCCGACGGCATCCTCACCCTCCCCGCTCGCCACGGCCGCCGCGGTGCGCTGCCCCTCGGCCTGCCTCTGCCACCACCGGTGCTCCCTCCCTCGGTCGTCGGCCTTGCCGTCCACGTCAATCGCACCTCGGTCCTTTGCCAGCTTGGTCGTCGGATGCGGCCGCCATCGGCTGCGCTCCTTGGTCAAGCCGGCGCGAGAAGGAGGGCTGGCCGCCGCTGCATCTTCAACATAGGCCTCCTCAGCGACGACACTGGCTGGCGCGGCAGTCAGTGGTGCAGGGCCCGTCCGCCTGGACCCCTGCTGCAGACGTTTCTCGCTGCCAATCGTCGCACGTTCAGCAGTAGCCGCTGGGGTGGCGAGGGCGTCTTCCCGTCGAGCCGGCCCGAACGCCTTCTGCGGTGAGGGGATCGACGGACGGCGAAAGAGCGACCGGCTGCGCGTCGACCCCGGCTCGTCGGTTTGGGGCCGCTGCATCGGCTGCTTTGGCTCTGCCGTTGCATCTGGGGCGCCGCCACCGCCGCCGCGGCGAAGCAGGAGGCTCTGCACGATGCCCTTGGCAGACGGGCGGCGTCGGTGCGACCCGGCCGCATCCCTGCCGGCGTCGTCGACATCCCTGCGGACCGAGCCCGAGCCGGCAACCGCGCCGCCCGCTTT